ATTAAAGATATAACTAGTATATATCTGTGTACATAGCTTAGCCTTTCCTTATTGTTACTGTATTTCTATGTTCACTTGCGCGAAGGCTCTACTATATACTAAACCCAAATGCTGTACTGTACATTCCGATCTTAAACTGTTATATAGGGTGATGTATGCAAATTCAGGCTTCAGCTATGGGCATCATTGTGATTGGCTAGATAAGGATATGCACATCTGTAAAAGCTTAGGAATGTTCTTTCCGTCAAAATCAATTGCGGACGTACCGGTAAGTCCGCCGGACTGATTTTTGCCCCGGACCAAATTTTTCCTACATCTAAATTTGTTCCTTAAGTCTTTAAAATAGGTCTAGATTATTCCTATTAAATGTTCAGTTTGTTGTGTTTATGAGGGTCCATTGATTCAATGAATTCCTTAATTGTTCATACTTAATATTGAATTTGAAGTAACTTTCTTCGGGTTCTAATTAAGCTTGTTTTACGAAAGTAATTTTCAATTACAATTCAATTTTTATTGCGGTGCGCGATCTTCGCGGTGACGAAAAAATGATGAATTTTTTTTTGCACACGAACCTAAAAAAAATTGAGCCAAGCGTCCACTAATAGACAAATTAATGGACGGTGGGGAATAGGCAAATAACATCCTGAGTTACAGTGATGACGTCACGATTGACTTATAATATAAATTAATGCCAATTTAAGATTAATTGATATTCTGAGCTCATTCTTTATTTATTTACTAATATCTTTAACCAGGATGACACAATCATTTTAAAGAAATGTTTTTCATTGTGGTCCTGGAAAATGAAGAAATAACAATATTTTGATTGGATAAAAATATTATGCCATTGGTTTAACAGCGGAGCTTATCACCGCAGACGGAAGGTTTCATGAAGATCATGAAATATAATGTTCAGTGCAATTATGTTGAGTACCATGGTATTGCTTCTCTCAAAACGAGATAGAAACGAATAAGCTATTTATTCATAACAAATTAGAAGTTTACAGCTTGATAAAAAATGGTGCGGTGATTTAGAAATGATGTTGGAAAACAAAGAATGGAAAACGATTTGTTCGCTCCCTTTTATTAAACAAAAAAAAAAAAAAACCAAAAAAAAAAACCCAAAAAAAAAAACAAAAAACAAAATACCAATAGTTTCAATACAGGTTTAATACAAGAATCTAAACGACTACTGTTTTTTTTTTCTTTTTGAAAAAGATAACAATTATGAAGTGTGAGTTTTAATTGTTGTGGGAAAAACTAAAGAAACAACGATCCATTTATTTTATAATTACGTTTATACTGAGAACATATGGTAGTTAAAAAAAAAAAAAAAACATCAAAGAAAATGCATTAACATTGTTGGAAAATAATTTTGCCCATATTACACCAGTCCTTAAAAACCTTCACTGGCTTCCTGTAGATCCGAGACTTAACTTGCTGACTACTTACAAGGCCCTGTCTTCGAAATTGTCATCCTACATTATAAATAAACTACTACTTACCACCTTATTGCCCGCCCTCCTCAATCAAGATCTTCAACTCAAAATAAACTCAATATTCCTAAATGTAAAACTGTTAACTATGGCAACCGATCATTTCTGTTTTCACCAGCTTGGAAATTTACGACCTTCCGAGGATATATCAAATTCACTTCCAGTTGAAATATTTAAGAAATCGCTTAAAAAATAATTTTACGTCATATTTCTCTTCTCTTGTTTAGTTTTCTGGCAATCATACTCTCATCTATTTTTTTTTTTTTTGAATTATTGAAGGATAGGCTAGCTAGATTCTAGGCTATTTTTGTGAGTACTGTTCCAGCGAGCCTTTAACATTACCCTTCAAAATGCTGGAGAACGGAGCAGTGAAAATGATTCTTCTGTTTTTTGCCGTTTTCTTTGTTGATTTCCTTGTAGCATAGGATATTTCATGGTTATATTTCGTATATCTTATGGCGCATAATACAATGAGTGCCTCTATGCGCTTTACAAAAATAAAACACTATTATTATTACTAGGCTATTATTATTATTATTATTATTATTATTATTATTATTATTATTATTATTATTATTATTATTATTATTAAAATTGATATATTAGTACTATTAATTCTGTGCTATTTACTCTTTAATTGTTATGTTATTCATAGGTACTTTGTACGGGAAACCGTTCCCTTTGATATATAT